CCCCCACTCCACCCCTTCCCCTGAGCTACGTCCCAGGGGACTGCAGCAGGGTTCGGGCGCGCCCTGCACTCACCAGGCGGCGGGAAGTGGAGCGACCTGGCCCCAGCCCGCCCTGCTCTGACGGCTCCCAGCCGCGCCGCCGGTTCCCTCCTGCCCCCCAAGGCTGGGAGCCAGGGGAGCAGAGTGGAGCGGGCTGGGGCCAGGTCGCTCCACTTCCCGCTGCGGGGGTGTGGGGGGGGCACCGCAATGTCTAGGGACGGCCCTGGGCAGAAGTGAGAAGTGTGCAATAAATATTTCTGTTCTATATTTGGGGAAAAAAGCTAGATGATATAGTCTCATTTAGCTAGTATCTCTGGAGCAGTGGTTCTCAACCTATTTACCATTGTGGGTTACATATGCAGCTCTCTACATGTTCTGTGGGCTGCATCCACACAATATATGTGCTTAGGGTTACCATACGTCCGGTTTTTCCCGGACATGTCCGGCTTTTTGGTAATCAAACCCCCGTCCGGGGGGAATTGCCAAAAAGCCGAACATGTCCGGGAAAAATACCGGCCGGGCACTTCCCCTCCCGCGGCTCCTCTGCTCCTCCCCTGACTCTTCAGCTCTGTTTAAGAGCCGAGCTGCCCGAGCGCTCCGTATATGTATGCAGTGTAGTTGTAGCTGTGTTCGTCCCAGGATATTAGAGACACAAGGTGGGGGAGGTAAGATCTTTTATTGACCCAACTTCTGTTGGTGAGAGAGACACGCTTTTGAGCTACTCAGAGCTCTTCTTCAGGTCTGGGAAAGGCACTCGAGTGTCACAGCTAAATGCAAGGTGGAACAGATTGTTTAGCATAAGTAGTTAGCACATATTCTAAGGGACCATTCAAGGTTGGTAGAGTAGCCCATTGACACCTCTGCAGTCATAGGGCAAACAGTGGGGCTAGTGGGTTACAGATTGTTGTAATAAACCATAAATTCAGTGACTCTGTTCAGTCCATCATTTTTAGTGTCTATCAAAATTATAAATTTAAACTCCCAGGCTTGTCTTTTGAAAGCGTCGTGCAGGTTTCCTTGAGGATGAGGACTGAGAGGTCAGATAAGCGATCGCTCTGTGAAAAGTGTTCACCCACGGGCGATAGGGTGTTTTTGTCTTTTATCATTTTCCTGTGTCAGTTCATTCAAGAGTTCATTCACAAAGCGATCACTCTATATCTATATATAATGTTGGCCATATGTACAGGCTAGGGGACTCTCTCCTGGGAAGCAGTGACTCTGACAAAAATCTGAGGGTCATGGTGGATAACCAGCTGAATAGGAGCTCCCAATGTGAAGTGGTGACCAAAAGAGCTAATGAGATCCTGGGATGCATAAACGGGGGAACCTCAAGTAGGAGCAGAGAGGTTATTTTACGTCTATATTTGATACTGGTGTGACAGCTGCTGGAACATGTGTCCAGTTCTGGTGTCAACAATTCAAGAAGGATGTTGATAAATTCCAGAGTTGACAGAAGAGCCATGAGCATGATTAAAGGATTAGAAAACCTGCCTTATAGTGATAGATTCAAAGAGCTCAGTCTGTTTAGCTTAACAAAGAGAAGGTGGAGGGGTGATGTGATCCCAGTCTATAAGTACCTGCATGGGGAACAAATATTTACTAATGGGCTCTTCAGTCTACCAGAGAAATTTATAACATGATCCAGTGGCTGGAATTTGAAGCTAGACAAATTCGGACTGGAAATAAGGCGTGCCTTTTTAACAGTAAGGGTAATGAACTATTGGACAATTTACCCAGCCTTGTGGTGAATTCTCCTTTCCTGACAATGTTTAAATCCAGACTGGATGTTTTTCTAAAAGCTCTGCTCTAAGAATTATTTTGGGGCAGCAGGTCAGACTAGATAATCACAATGGTCCCTTCTGGCCTTGGAATCTATGAATCTTTCTCTACTTCTCCCCTTTGTTTGTCTTGCCTATTTAGACAGTAAGCTCTTCCGGGCAGGGACGGTCTGTTATGTGTACGTACAGTACCTAGGACAACGAGGCCCTGCTCTCATACGGGGACTCAAGGTGCTATTGTAAAGCAATAATAAGTTTCCTTCCATGTGGCCAAAAAAATAACGGGATTCATTGTTTTTATTGTAATAAAATCGGACAGCATTTCGGTGCAACTCTAGGTTATAAAAATGGCACCATGGATCTCCATGTGTATTGTGACTCCTGAGCAAATATAGTCAGTCACAAGTAAAGTGATGTTTGGCCTGGCTTTCCACTCTGTGAATGGAATTATACCAACCTCAATCTGTCGCAGCAGAAGGATGAATCAGGCTGCTGTTTCTAACTCCCCCAGCCCAGCAAACTCCCTCAGGCATCCAAGAGTCAAACTGGGGTCTTCCTTTCTCATGCATTATCGCCAGCAGTCAAGCTTTTGCAAACCAAACTGTGCCTAATAGCTGTTGAACCCAATGACCTTCTGTGGGTTTGCATGGGTGTAAATGACTGGGAATGGAAAGAACTCCGTTATGATGCACAAAAGGAAGAGACTCCAGCTCCCCTCTCCGGGGACAGCCGGAGTACAAAGCAGAACAAAAATAGGAATCTGCATACATACAGGGAGCAGATTTGCTGAGTCAGATGGTGCCATTTTTGCACAGTCACTCTTCAGCGCAGAACCACGTTTTAGTGTTGAGTCTAGCAGACACATCTGAGTCAGTGCACATGCTCTGAACAGTAGCCGTATTTAGGAAGCTGCTATAGCAATAAAGGATCACTTACTCGCCGTTCACATAGGGACATGCGAGAGGGTTTGAGAGAGAGTTTCGAATTCACTGGAGTCTCATCAATCCAAGGAGATCTGCTTAGCGAGGATGAATGGAATCCTCAGTAGTGCAAACAACGTCCATGCAATAGAAGAGCAGGTTTGGGAACCTGGAGGTCTCATTGCCGTACAGCTCTAGTTTTCACCACACAGAAACTCCCACACATTTCCTTCCATCCAAGTTTCTCCCCCCCCCCCCCCCCCCCCCCCCCTCCGCTCCCCCCCTCCCTCTTTTCCAGCCCCCCCTCCAGGACCCACCTCCCAGTTTGCTGTCCGGGGAGCAGCCAAGAGCACAGAGTGCAGTGTTGTTGCACAGAGGTAAGTGCTCTACTAGTAAACCCCAAGAAGTGACACACAGAGAGAGGCAGCCCTATATCCAATAGTGGGAACTACACTAGGAACCCCTTCAGCACCTTCCAGCACAGCTCCCCTCTTTTAGTGTCAGAAACACTAACACTGAAAACCGATCCAGGCCTCACCCCACACGTTAATACCACAGGATAGGCCACTGCCGGGATTTCCAGCCCCAGCACTCAAAAATCATGAAATAGGCTTAAAAATCCCGAGATTAAATAATGATAATAATCAGCTTGGGGTTCTTTTTATTTGGGGCTCTCAAGGCTTCCAGTGCGTGAGCTCTCAGGGCACATTTCCCTCACATTTTCAAGTATTTATTCGCAGCCCTGAGGACTAGAAACTTTTTCTTTTAATGGAAACTGAGGTTTAATGGAATCACATGACTCCAGGAGCTGGCGCTTTAAGTAGGGTTACCATTCGTCCGGATCCTGCCGGACATGTCCGGCTTTTTTGAGTTAAAAATAGCGTCCGGGAGGAATTTGTAAATGTCCAGATTTCCCCCCCATGCAGAGCGTGCACGGCTGACAGGGCAGCCGGCCGGATTGTGCCACTCGCACGGGGCTCTGACAGCCAGAGCCCCTCCTCCACTTCCCCCTCCTCTCCCCTGCAACTTGAGACCACTCCCCTCCTCTCTCTCCCTCCCTCCCCCTCCCTGCATTCGCAGATCGCCGGCCGGCCGTTCGCCTCGGGCCTCCGGCAGTCTGGAGCTCCTCCCCCTCCCCTGCTGCCGAGCACGCTCCTCTGCAGCACTCTGTTCTGAGCGGCACGGTGAGGGGGCCAGGGGGTCGGAGAAGGGGCAGGGAGGTTCTGGAGGGGGCAGTCAAGAGACAGGGAGCAGGGTTGGATGGGTCGGGAGTTCGGGGGGGGCTGTCTGGGGGTTGGGGGTGTAAGGTTTTGGGCAGTCAGGGTACAGGTAGGGGGTAGGGTCCTAGGGGAGCTGAGGAGGGGGGGAAGGTCTCAGGAGGGGGCAGTCAGGGGACAAGAAGCAGAGAGGCTTAGGTAGGGGGTGGAGTCCTGGGGGACAGTTAGGGGCAGGGGTCCCAGGAGGGGGCAGTCAGGGGACAAGGAGTGGGGGGGAGGGTTGGGGGTTCTGAGGGGGGCGGGAAGTGGGAGGGAGTGGAAGGGACGGGGCGGGGCTAGGGCAGGATGGGGGCGGGGCTAGGGCGGGGCTCCTCCCGTCCTCTTTTTTGATTGTTGAAATATGGTAACCCTAGCTTTAAGCAAAACATCAAACATTGCAGGGGTTGGCAACACTGCTTCAGTTCCCTGAGCCAGCTGAGCAGGTGACTCTGCCTCTCTGTTAACCTCCATGCTGTTCTAGGCACAAGTCCTCAATCAGTCCTCACACCAATGGGAGCTAGGCACCCACATGCCTTTGAGGAGCTAGTTCCTTTGGGTGCTCTGCTATAGGCCTGCAGCCCACTCCTCCACAGCGACTGCTCTGAAAGTGGCTTCCTTTCCCTCGGCCTGCTCAGAGCCTTCAGCTGCTTTCTCTGCTGTTTCGGGCAGTCCTAGCAGCACAGCCAGTTCTGAGAGCTGCTCCAGCCTGGGCCGAGGGAGGAAAGCAAACCCTGCCATCTCCCTGCAGGGCAGTCTGCCGTGCCCCCCTTCTCGGGAGGGGGTCCAGCCAGCTCTGACACTGGGTTGAGATGTGGGCAGCAGGAGTGTGGCAATCCCAGAGGCGAGCATTTCATCAGTGAAACCAGCAGGTGACACAGGAGACTGGATGCCACAGCCAGCTGCAGTTGAGACCCATCACCCTCCCTCATTAAGGACCTGCTAGCCAAAAGTGCAATTTCCCTATTACATGTCCCTCCCCTACCTACTCCCGACTCCTCCCCAATCCCTTCCCCCACAGTCTCTTCACCCGCTTCCCCCTTCACACTCTGCCCCCCTCTGACATCCCTCCCATCACACATTCCCTGCAGGGGGTCTCCCAGACCAGACCCCCTCCCCCATTCCCATGCCCCGGCCTCACCTTCCCCCAGCAGAACCCCTCTGCCCATTCCTCCATCAGCCACCCCTTCCCCACTGCACAGCCTCCCCTCCCCCGTCCAACACCCCTTCCCCACCGCGCAGCCTCCCCTCCCCCGTCCGACACCCCTTCTTCACCACTTCAAAGGGGGACTGAACTATAAAAGTGAGGGGCAAAACACTCCAAGTTCTCGCTCCCCCTCCAGTTCTCCCTTTTCACCTCAGAAGACAAAAGAAACAGACATTGGACTTTGGGAGCAGATCCTGGCCTGAGAGTTTGGTCAGCAATAGTACTGGAAATGTGGTAAGGGCACTTAATTTTGAACCAAGGCTAGTGTGTTATGGTTAGAAAGCGTTTTATCTTTATTTTTCCTGTAGCCATTTCTGCTTTGAGATCTGACACAAACAGCACTGCTGCCTGGGACGTGCTGAACGTTGCAAGGGTGCATGCGGGCGCCAGCCATTTATGCAGTGAGCAGCCTTGCAATGGCTTCCTTTCTTTAGCACAGACACACGGAGTACATGCGCATCTGTATATCACTCTTTCTGTATCTCTCTGAATTCACGTCCCCGGGTGGGAATCTTATGGGGATCCGTGTCTGGGGGGTCTGTGAGCAGGTGTGTCTGTAGCAATGCATCATTGGGTGAAGTGCTGGATTAAAGAATTTTGGGGCCCTGTTCACTATCGGAATTGAGGGAGACACCCACCTTCTCTGCCAGGTCTTGCCTCCTGGGGGGTGGGAGGCAATGGGGCTTGGGTCCTGCCCCAGGAGTAGGAGGCCCTGATGTGGGGGTCTGCTGGACAGTGAGGCTGCGATTCATGTCCTGCAGCAGGGCGGGCTTGGTTCCCCACTCCGGCCCATTGGCCCTTGCCACGGCGTGCAGATGGGGCCCTTCCTCTGCGATGCTTTGCCCTGTCCCCTTCCTGGCCTTGGGTTGTTTTTGTTGTGGGGGAGGTCATTGGGGGGCCCTTCGAGATGGGGGTTCTGTGCAAATGCACCAGGTGCACATTAGGGCCTGCTTGTGTGTCTCCCAGTGTGTTTGTGACCCTGGGTGTGGGTGTACTGGGGGGGTCTGTTAGTTGCGGGGAGGGCTGTGTGTATTGAGGGTAACGATGTCTGTGTGCTCTGGGTGGGGGTAACTCTCTGAGTTGGGGGTATGGTATAGCCATAGGCGCTGGAACTAGGGGTGCTGGGGGTGTGGCCGCACCCCCTGGCTTGAAGTGGTTTCCATCAGATCCGGGCCTTACAATTTGGTTCCGTGGCTCTCGGCACCCCTGCTACACGATTTGTTCCAGCCTGCCTGGGTATCTCTGAGCTGTGTGTGGGTGTCTGTGTAAGTAGGTCAGATGCAGTTTGCTGTGCTTCGTTGGGTGGGCAAGGTTCAGCTTCACAAGGCTCGCTGGATGGGTGGGTGTGTTTGTCCTGATTTCGTAGTTTCAACCCACTAAAGGATTTAATGCTCAATTTAGTTTAAAAACCCAGTTCTGGAAAAGGGCTGTGTCCCTCTCCCAAGAGCCCAGAGGTTAGGGCAGGTTTAACACCTCCAGCCTGCTCCTGGTCAGCTCTTCTTTCACAGTTCTGCTGGTGACACCTCAAGAACAGCCTGTCTTGTGGCTTGACACTCTGGTGATCGCCAGATAGCTAGATGTGTCGCAACGGCCAAGACGCATCAGAAGCTCTGACCAGAGCAGGAAGAACACAGGTGATAGGATTGTGATGGGTTCCCCCCGGGGCGCCACCTGGAACTAGGGTACCACTGAGCCCCCTCACCCACCAGCCTCTGCTTCCTCTCACATTGTACTGCTGTGACAAGCTGCAAAGCCCTCCAGCCTGCAATTTCACCAGCACACATACAGGTAGGGACACACCCAGCTGCAGTTACATGCAGGCTCTCTGACCAGCCCCTGCAATGAACCAACAATGGAAAGGCTACAGCTAAAGCAACTCCCAAATCCCCATGCACACACCCCCCGGAGTATAAACCCAAAATTATACTTGTCTTGTGCTGCACAGGTAACTGTACAGCGTAAGCTCATAAAATTCACCCCCTCCCTCAATGTGGAGAGGAATATGCAACAGCCTTTGCCCCTGAATTATGATTCCCACATACTTCATTGCAACTCACTGGTTTAGATAAAGCAAAAACAAGTTTATTAACTAAAAAAGATAGATTTTAAGTGATAGCCAACAGAGCAAAGCAGATTACCTAGCAAATAAATAAAAAATGCAAACTAAGCTTAATATACTAAATAGATTGGCTAGGAATAGCAGATTCTCACCCTAAGAGATGATAAAAACAGGCTGTAGATTCTTAAGGGGCAAGCTGCACTTGCTTACAGCTTGGAATTTCCAGGTGTTCCATTCACAGGCTAAAAATCCCTTTAGCCTGGGTCCAGCACTTCCCCCAGTTCAGTCTTTGTTCCTCAGGTGTTTCCAGGAGTCTTCTTGTATAGGGAGTGAAGAACACCAGATGATGTCACCCCCTCCCTTATATAGCTTTTGCATATGGCAGGAAGCTTTGTTTCAAAGCTTGGTTCCCAGACCAGTCTGTGGAAAAATACTGACATGCCAAGATGGAGGCTAGAGACATGCGGTCACATCACGTCTATGTAGAGTCATAGCAGCCATTAGTTGGAGGCTGTCTGTAGCATTTGCAGGAAGGCCCCCCAGGTAGGAGATAAGCTTCTCCTAAGGCCAATTGCTTTTTCCTAGTGGTCCATTGCCCTGAATAGGCCGTTCCCCACCCACTATCCAGATTGAAAGCATCTTATCTAGTGGGCGTTACCCAGGTGTAACTACATTTGAAATATAGACACATAGTCAATATTCACAACTTCAGATACAAAAATGATACATGCATACAAATAGGATATTTAGCAAATCATAACCCTTCCAATGACACCTCACATGACTAATCTTGCTTAAAATACATTACAATGATGTCATAATCATATCATAATAATATCACTGTGAAGAATATAGGGT